AGAGGTCAGAACCATTGACTTGGAAGTCTCTGCACAATTCTACTATTCGTAGCAGAAGGGAGAGAGAAAATGCCAATGAATTCAAAAGTGTGTTCATAACGAAATTAGACCCATTCTCAATGGATTTCCAACGTGTGCCATGGTCTAAAAACAGTATTGAATCATCAACGAGACTCGTTTGGAAAAGTTTTTAAAATAACTGAAAGCGTTTTTTAAAATTTTTTTTTTTTTTTTGTTCCAAAAACACTTGAAGTGTTACTTGCAAACTGGCCCTTATGCGAGCATGTAATGACCAGTTATGCTTTTTGTAGAAAGCACTTCACGTGCCTTTTCTAGAATTTTCACTTGCAATTTTACTAAGAATTGGATCTAAAAATATTTTCACTAAAAGCACTTTCTGCCATTTTAAAAGCACTTCCCAACAAGCCCTTATATGATACGTATGTACCATTATCGTTGCATCCGGTGTCAATAAAACAAGTTACGTGAACAAAACATACACATTTTTTTATGTATTTGCCGCGAAACGAAACAATAACAGCATACCCAGGTAATGCAAATACATCTAGACAGAATAAGGGTCGGGACCACTGACTTGGAAGTCTAGCGACTGTGAAAGGCCAGCCACATACCATCGGCCGGCTGCCCATTTTCCATGAAGACTCATTCTCATTAGAAAAAATGACATTGTTATACTTTTTCACACTTTAAATATTGCAGATATCTTGAGACCTGCAAAGCATATATCATTGCATGCTCACATAAGAAGTATGGTTCCCAGAAGTGCTTCCATCCAACTTTTTTCACTTATTATACTGTCAGGTTTCCTCTTCTTTGAAACCACTAAACTTGGTTTCTGCAGTGCTGATCGTAACGTGGTATGCAAGGAAACTGAGAGGAAAGCCCTTCTCGAGCTCAAAGCCGGTCTCACAGACCCTTCAGGCCGGCTTTCGTCTTGGGTGGGAGAAGATTGCTGCAAATGGAGCGGTGTAGGCTGCAACAACGTAACTGGACGTGTGACCACGCTCAATCTCCGCAACGAATTTTCAGATGGCGAGGATGGAACATTGCTTGCATTTGGCGGTGAGATCAACCCTTCTTTGCTTGTATTGAAAGATTTGATTCGGTTGGATTTGAGCATGAATAACTTTGAAGGTGTTCGAATTCCAAACTTCATCGGATCACTAGAGAAATTGGAATACCTCAATCTCTCTAGTGCATCATTCGGTGGAGTCATTCCCCAAAGTTTCGGAAACCTTTCGAGATTGCTTTCTCTAGACCTCAGCTATTATCTTTTTGAATCGATAGCGAATGATCTTCGATGGCTTCCAACTCTTTCTTCCTTAAAGTACCTAAACCTCGGAGGAGTAGACCTAAGCAAGGCTAAATCACTTTGGCTTCCCACAGTCAATATGCTACCTTCGCTCGTTGAATTGCATCTGCCCTCTTGTGGACTTTCCGTCCTTCCTCTCACCCTTCCTTCCATGAATTTCGCATCCCTTTCGGTTCTCGATCTCTCAAGCAATGATTTCAACTCCACATTACCTCCCTGGTTGTTCAATCTGACTAAACTAGTCACCCTTGAAATGCACTCAGCCAATCTCCACGGAGCACTTCCAGAAACATTTGGTAGTTTGACATCTCTTCGGACGCTTGATTTGTCGGAAAACTCAAACATTGAAGGACTGTTGCCACGAAGCTTGGGAACGCTATGCAATTTGCAGGCGCTGAAACTTTCTATCAACAAAATTACTGGTGAGATTACTAATTTTGTTGATTTGTCTTTATGCACAAACAGCAGCTTAGAGAGGCTGGATTTGGGATATAACAGGCTGACAGGAAAACTGTCTGATTCTTTGGGAAATCTTAAAAATTTAAGATCTCTCAAATTGTGGCACAACTCGTTTCAGGGTTCAATCCCCAAATCGATTGGAAAGTTGAAATCTTTGGAGGAGTTGTACATTTCCAATAATCAAATGAGTGGGAGCATCCCTGAAGGTCTTGGGCAGCTCTCGTCGCTGACTGCACTAGATATCTCGGAAAACACATGGGAAGGTTCGATTACAGAAGCTCATTTCATGAAACTTGGAAGCCTTACAGATGTTTCAATTTATAAAAATAACCCAAACATTTCCTTAGTTTTCGATATTAGTTCCGATTGGATACCTCCCTTTAAGCTGAGATACTTGAACATTAGGTCATGCCAACTAGGTCCTAAATTTCCTACATGGCTCAGAAATCAGACTGAGTTGGTCACTTTGGTACTCAACAATGCTAGGATTTCGGATACCATACCGCAGTGGTTTTGGCAGTTGGATTTCCAATTAGATCAACTAGATGTCGCTTATAATCAGCTAAGCGGCAGGGTGCCTAACTCATTACGATTCATCAGTCCTGGCACCGTTGATTTGAGTACAAACCGCTTCGAGGGCCCCCTCCCACTCTGGTCATCAAACATCACCATGTTGTATCTTAGAGATAATCTGTTTTCTGGGCCAATTCCTCGTGACATTAGTGAAGTAATGCCCTCTCTGACGGATCTAGACATTTCTCGGAACTTTTTGAATGGAAGCATTCCCCTGTCCATGGGTAATCTAAGCCAATTAACAACCATGGTTATCTCAAATAACCTGTTGTCTGGTGAGATTCCTAACTTTTGGGACAGTATACCATCATTGTACATCCTAGATGTGTCGAATAACAGTCTTTCAGGTTCAATCCCACGATCCTTAACTTCTCTTACTTTACTCAGATTCTTGATACTCTCTAGCAACCACCTTTCGGGCAAACTTCCTTCCATGAAAAACTTCACTGACATGAGGAGTCTTGATCTTGGTGAGAACAATTTCTCTGGAGCTATTCCAGCTTCCATAGGAGAAAGCATGCCCTCTTTGTTGATTTTGCGTCTGAGGCTCAACTTGTTTAGAGGAAGCATCCCTTCGCAGCTATGTGGCCTTTCCAATCTCCACATATTGGACCTCTCACACAACAATCTCTCCGGAAATGTTCCCGCTGCATAGGTAACTTAACTGGCTTCAGATCCGATCTCACAAATAAGGATACAGATGATTATCTTTACCAGGGAAGATTGAAGGTAGTGGCAAAAGGAAGGGTCCTTGAATATAACACTATCCTTTACCTTGTCAATAGTGTGGATCTCTCAGACAACAACTTGTCAGGAGAGATGCCTGTGGGGCTAACAAGCCTTACAAGGTTAGGCACCTTGAATCTGTCCATGAATCATTTGATAGGAAATATCCCAGCAAAGATCGGAGACTTGGAGCGGATAGAAACTCTTGACCTATCGAGCAACAAATTTTCGGGTCCAATTCCACAGACCATGGTTTCTTTAACATTTCTGAATCATCTCAACTTGTCATACAACAACTTGTCCGGAAAAATCCCAACAAGCAACCAGTTTGAAACCTTCATTGATCCATCCATTTATGAAGGCAATGCCGGTCTCTGCGGGCATCCATTACCAACCGATTGCCAAGGCGACAAAGAAGCACCTCCGGTTCCAAGTGCAGATGGGGAGGATGATGACAGTAAGTCCGATAGGCTATGGTTCATCATCAGCGTGGTGATAGGTTTCTGTTTCGGCTTCTGGGGAGTTTTTGGGACTTTGGCCGTCAAGAAGTCTTGGAGATATGCCTACTTTTGCTTCGTTGACAAGGTGAAGTATGCTGTGCTTGATTTTTTCTCAGCCATTGCTACTTATCTGCAGAAAAGATCATAGATTTTAGAAGAAGCTGTCAACTGTGAAAGCTTATTTAAGCAAATAAAGATGTTTAATATTTTCCTTTTCCTTTATGAATTTGTAAGCGTGGTTTCAATGTCCTTTATGTTTTGCTTGTAAGTCAAGACACATATTCTACAATATTAATCTACAAATCTCTATTTGTACCCTAAATTATTCCGGTGCTTCCACTTTGATTCTTCAATTTTAATTTATCTAAAAGTGACTTTCGTTACAAAAGTTGACAGAATACCATGTGATCACTTTCTAAATGACATTTCAATAGCTCGTGTACTTGATAAAAATCACTTTCCAAAATTGGTACTGTATTTGTTATGATATATCAAAACTGCCACTGGACCTAATGAGCCCGGCCCATTAGGTACTACACCCTAGCTCAATCATGAAAAATGATCCCGACCAAAGATTTGATGATGGCCTTTATGGGAAAATCATTTTCCCGGTTGTTTCTTACCTTGGAGATGTCACTTTTATGTTTTATTGTACATATTCTTTTGGGTTAACAATCCAAAGGCAATTGACCTTCTCATCACGTATGATTACCGTATTAACTAGTTATCACACATAAAAGATAACATCATCAACAATTTTTACTATCTTTGTTCTTTCTTTTTGTCTTCATTCTCTTGTTTATGTCACTTAATTTTTATTACCTTATTGAATGCAAACGCAAATGCAAATGCTAGAAAAAAAAGAAAGATTGAAAGGTAGAAAATGACATTGTGAATATTATTTCCCATATATTAGAGAACAATAATTTGAAAATTGGGAGGTGCGAAGGCTACAAATTAGTGTATAAGATTCTTACATTGGTTTTAGTGTTACCGATTACAATCGATTCAGTGTAGAGAGCGTTTTCGCCCCTCTGTCTGACAATTCCTGGCTTCGCCACTGCCAACGAGCCCTTATATGATACGTATGTACCATTATCGTTGCATCCGGTGTTAATAAAACAAGTTATGTGAACAAAACTGACGCATGCTTTTATGTATTTGCCACGAAACGAAACAATAACAGCATACCAGTGTAATGCAAATACTTCTAGACACGCTAAGGGTCGGGACCACTGACTTGGAAGTCTAGCGACTGTGAAAGGCCAGCCACAGACCATCGGCCGGCTGCCCATTTTCCATGAAGACTAATTCTCCTTGGAAAAAATGATATTGTTATACTTTTTCACACTTTAAATATTGCAGATATCTTGAGACCTGCAAAGCATATCTCATTGCAAGCTCACATAAGAAGTATGGTTCCCAGAAGTGCTTCCATCCAACTTTTTTCACTTATTATACCGTCAGGATTTCTCTTCTTTGAAACCACTAAACTTGGTTTCTGCAGTGCTGATCGTAACGTGGGATGCAAGGAAACTGAGAGGAAAGCCCTTCTCGAGCTCAAAGCCGGTCTCACAGATCCTTCAGGCCGGCTTTCGTCTTGGGTGGGGGAAGATTGCTGCAAATGGAGCGGTGTAGGCTGCAACAACGTAACTGGACGCGTGACCACGCTCAATCTCCGCAACGAATTTTCAGATGGCGAGGATGGAACATTGCTTGCATTTGGCGGTGAGATCAACCCTTCTTTGCTTGTTTTGAAAGATTTGATTCACTTGGATTTGAGCATGAATTGTTGTGTCTTGGCCCGTTCGTTAGTGTTGAACCGAGATTCAGATTACAACCTCACCAAAAAATCACACAGTTGAACAGAATAAAATACAAGAAATAAAGACACCGAGAAATTTACGAGGTTCGGCAAAAACCTGCCTACGTCCTCCGAGAGATATTGCTCTTCACTATGAGAATAACTAGTACAATATACACTTGAGTTAAATCGACATAACCCAAACCCCAATCCCTTGTACCCTCACAGAATTTTACTAAGAGTCTCACTCTCCCCAAGAGCTTCTCACTCTCACTCTATATTTTCTCTCACTTGTGTTCTCCTCTGGATGCTCCCGCAATCATCTTACCCTCTCACTCGGCAAGCCCTACTTAACATGCAACCCCTTTCTTTCTTTACATTAAATTACAAAGAAGGCAAGCACACTTGCATGAAAGCAAACCAGAGTTTACGGGGTCATGTTTCCAAAGTCCAAAAGCAAACCTACTCTTGCCTTTTCCTTTGTAGCAACTTTAAATGATGACTATACAAACACAATCATGATTGTCTTCCACAAAACATGCTCCTTGCTTTGCCTTTTAATCAAGCTCCAAAGCCACTCACGGGTTACATTATTGTTGCCAGCTCAAAATATGAGCCAATCACAACATGAATAACTTTGAAGGTGTTCGAATTCCAAAGTTCATAGGATCACTAGAGAAATTGGAATACCTCAATCTCTCTGGTGCATCTTTCGGTGGAGTCATTCCCCAAAGTTTTGGAAACCTTTCGAGATTGCTTTCTCTAGACCTCAGCTATAATCTTTTTGAACCGATAGCGAATGATCTTCGATGGCTTCCAACTCTTTCTTCCTTAAAGTACCCAAACCTCGGAGGAGTAGACCTTAGCAAGGCTAAATCACATTGGCTTCCCACTGTCAATATGCTACCTTGACTCGTTGAATTGCATTTGCCCTCTTGTGGACTTTCCGTCCTTCCTCTCACCCTTCCATCCATGAATTTCGCATCCCTTTCGGTTCTCGATCTCTCAAACAATGATTTCAACTCCACATTATCTCCCTGGTTGTTCAATCTGACTAAACTAGTCACCCTTGAAATGCACTCAACCAATCTCCACGGAGCACTTCCAGAAACATTTGGTAGTTTGACATCTCTTCGGACGCTTGATTTGTCGGAAAACTCAAACATTGAAGGACCGTTGCCAAGAAGCTTGGGAATGCTATGCAGCTTGCAGACGGTGAATCTTCCTATTAACAAATTTACTGGTGAGATTACTGATTTCGTTGATAGTTTGTCTGCATGCACAAACAGCAGCTTAGAGAAGCTGGATTTGGGATATAACAGGCTGACAGGAAAACTGCCGGACTCTTTGGGAAATCTTAAAAGCTTAAGATTCCTCATATTGCGGTTTAACTCATTTCAGGGTTCAATCCCCAAATCGATCGGAAAGTTGAAATCTTTGGAGGAGTTGTACATTTCAAATAATCAAATGAGTGGGAGCATCCCTGAAGGTCTTGGGCAGCTCTCGTCGCTGACTGCACTAGATATCTCGGAAAACACATGGGAAGGTTCGATTACAGAAGCTCATTTGATGAAACTTGGAAGCCTTACAGATGTTTCAATATATAAAAATAGCCCAAACATTTCCTTAGTTTTCGACATTAGTTCCGATTGGATACCTCCCTTTAAGCTGAGATACTTGAACATTAGGTCATGCCAACTAGGTCCTAAATTTCCTACATGGCTCAGAAATCAGACTGAGTTGGTCACTTTGGTACTCAACAATGCTAGGATTTCGGATACCATACCGCAGTGGTTTTGGCAGTTGGATTTCCAATTAGATCAACTAGATGTCGCTTATAATCAGCTAAGCGGCAGGGTGCCTAACTCATTACGATTCATCAGTCCTGGCACCGTTGATTTGAGTACAAACCGCTTCGAGGGCCCCCTCCCACTCTGGTCATCAAACATTACCATGTTGTATCTTAGAGATAATCTGTTTTCTGGGCCAATTCCTCGTGACATTAGTGAAGTAATGCCCTCTCTGACGGATCTAGACATTTCTCGGAACTTTTTGAATGGAAGCATTCCCCTGTCCATGGGTAATCTAAGCCAATTAACAACCATGGTTATCTCAAGTAACCTGTTGTCTGGTGAGATTCCTAACTTTTGGGACAGTATACCATCATTGTACATCCTAGATGTGTCGAATAACAGTCTTTCAGGTTCAATCCCACGATCCTTAACTTCTCTTACTTTACTCAGATTCTTGATACTCTCTAGCAACCACCTTTCGGGCAAACTTCCTTCCATGAAAAACTTCACTGACATGAGGAGTCTTGATCTTGGTGAGAACAATTTCTCTGGAGCTATTCCAGCTTCCATAGGAGAAAGCATGCCCTCTTTGTTGATTTTGCGTCTGAGGCTCAACTTGTTTAGCGGAAGCATCCCTTCGCAGTTATGTGGTCTTTCCAATCTCCACATATTGGACCTCTCACACAACAATATCTCCGGAAATGTTCCCCGCTGCATAGGTAAATTAACTGGCTTCAGTTCCGATCTCACAGATAAAGATACAGAAGATTATCTTTACCAGGGAAGATTGAAGGTAGTGGCAAAAGGACGGGTCCTCGAATATAACTCCATCCTTTACCTGGTCAATAGTGTTGATCTCTCAGACAACAACTTGTCAGGAGAGATGCCTGTGGGGCTAACAAGCCTTACAAGGTTAGGCACCTTGAATCTGTCCATGAATCATTTGACAGGAAATATCCCAGCAAAGATTGGAGACTTGGAGCGGATAGAAACTCTTGACCTATCGAGCAACAAATTTTCGGGTCCAATTCCACAGAGCATGGTTTCTTTAACATTTTTGAATCATCTCAACTTGTCATACAACAACTTGTCCGGGAAAATCCCAACAAGCAATCAGTTTGAAACCTTCGATGCGTCCATTTATGAAGGAAATGCCGGTCTTTGTGGGCATCCATTACCAAATTGCCAAGGTGGCAAAGAAACGCCTGAGGTTCCAGGTGGAGATGACGAGGATGATGACAGTAAGCTCGATAAGCTGTGGCTCATATTCAGCATTGTGATAGGTTTCTGTTTCGGGTTCTGGGGAGTTTGCGGGACTTTGGTCATCAAGAAGTCTTGGAGATATGCGTATTTCAACTTCGCTGACAAGGTGTATGCATATGTATTAGCCATTCTGAAGAAAAGATCATAGAAACTGTCAAATGTTGAAAGCATATATATGAATGCAAATAAGACCTGAAAATTGGTTGTTGTTCTCATTACTATTTTGGTAATAAAGAAGCATGAATATCTTATATAATTCGCGAAATTTTATTCTTCTTTTTTGCGATTATATCCATGCATCGAACTTTTATTTTTCTGTAAAAAGAAAGTCTAGTGCGTTTTTGTAACGTCTGATTGTTTTTGTTTGATGATTTCGTGAGACATTCTACCGATTAATTAAATATTGAAGGCAAACTAGTGAAAATTTTAATTATAATTACGTTCTCTTCTAGAAAGACAATAAAGGACAACTATTCTCACCCAATCCTCACTCCTAGGCCTGATTTTTGGTTACATCGGATCGGAAGACATGTTTCCAATTTCAACCCAAAAAGTTTCGGGAATGCATATCATTTCTAATTTTAGAATCAAAATTTCGAAATTTCATAAACTCATGTTGAATTCGGTATTTTTGGAATCAGATTTATTTTTTGAATTTCAAAATTATGGGACTTATATGACTTCATCTACTGTTCTCCATCAAGAGAAAAAAAATATGTCATCTCCATGGCTCTCTCTACACAATATAAAATTTTATAGTTCTAATTCTCATTTTTTATGTAATATATTCTATAGGGAGTTGTAATTGACAAAATAGTTACATATTTGAGTACATGTATAATAAATCGAAAGTCAATAAGTACTATGTAACAGAGTGCAAGTTTCAGAATTTGAGATTGAATTTAGAATATAAAAACATTCCAATTCCTATCCATTTTTTTTTTCGGAATTCAAAAGTTTGAATTTGAATTGGACAAAATCTTTGTAATATTTCAGCTCAAATCGGTCGGAATTGGATATTCCTATCCAAGTTGCATCCCTACTCACGCCAAAACCCTTGAAACTTGTAAAGAAAAAAAACTCTTCCCACTCATCACTCACGCCAAAACCAAAATACTTGTTTCATTCAAACAACACTACTTACTCCCTCCAAACCCCCCTCAAAACCCAAACTCCATATGAAACCATTATTTTGAATATTTACTTGTGTTGTACGTTTGGAGAAATTTTGATTCGAGAAAATTTTCGACATACCAGGACAGGAAAGCTTATTTAAATTTAGGTGTCCATAAGCGGAAAATAAGCAGCACGTTTCGGTCAGGACTAAATGAGTACAAACAAAAATATGTTCTCTAAACCGGACTTCCACAGAAGCTTCCGGCCTTGTCTAACGCAGCTCTTACATTTGGCAGCTGACTGCTGCAAACAACTGGTGTTACTTCAATACTTTTCCTGTTAATCTCTCCAACATAGAAACATTCTTAAATTTTAAGCTAGAAGACATGATATGTGTACATTAAGGGATAGCACTGACTTGGGAAATCTTTGGACGATCGTACTAGTGTCGATTCTCATAGCATTAAGGATAGCCTCGACAACGCGGTTGTTATAGGTGACCCGATTATATGACGAGATTCTTACTTACAATCGGGTATGAATTTCCTTAACTCTACGGCACTTACGTGGATATATCTCCAAAGACACGGGAGTAGCTGTCATTAAACGGGGAAGATGTAGAAGTTATTGGCCTTGGTTTTGAGCGGTGACTCGGTGAGGTGCACCATTGACTTGTTTTTTGTTTTCTTATCAGAGACATGGAAATTTTCGTAACAGCAACATTATGGTTTCACTTCTAAGTGTTTCCATGACGGCACATAATTTGGAACATCTAAAAGAGGAGACAATCTCCTATTTATACATGGCATTTTTCTCTTTTTATACTGCAGACTCATCTTTTGTACTACAAATCATCCAATTGCACGCTCACATTCGAAATATGTGTCAGACTAGTGTTTCCACCCAACTTCTTTCACTTATTTTGCTATCAGGAATTCTATACCTTGAAACTGTTAAGCTCGGTCTCTGCAGCGTTGATCATAACGTGGGATGCCTGGATTTTGAGAGGAAAGCCCTTCTTGAGGTCAAACAAGGCCTCGTTGATCCTTCAGACAGGCTTTCATCTTGGACGGGAGAAGATTGCTGCAAATGGCGGGGTGTAGGCTGCAACAAAAAAACTGGACGTGTGACCAGGCTCAATCTTCACAACGAATATGTAGATGGTTTGGACGGTGAAGATGGAGCAATGCATGCATTAGGTGGTGAGATCAACCGTTCTTTGCTTGTTTTGAAAGATTTGATTTATTTGGATTTGAGCATGAATAACTTCGAAGGTGTTCGAGTTCCAAGTTTCATGGGATCACTAGAGAAGCTTGAATACCTCAATCTCTCTGGTGCATCTTTTGGTGGGGTCATTCCCCATAATCTCGGAAATCTTTCGAGATTGCTTTTTCTAGACCTCAGCAATAATTTTTTTGAACCGAATGCGACTGACCTTCGATGGCTTCCAACTCTTTCTTCCTTAAAGTTCCTCAACTTGGGAGGAGTGGATCTTAACAAGGTTGCATCCTCTTGGCTTCCCACTGTTAATATGCTCCCTTCACTTGTTGAACTGCATTTGCCCTCTTGTCAACTTTCCATCCTTCCTTTCGCTCTTCCTTTTATAAATTTCACATCCCTTTCGGTTCTCGATCTCTCTACCAATAATTTCAACTCCACATTACCTCCTTGGTTGTTCAATCTGACTAAACTAGTCAGCATTGACCTAAACTCCAATAATCTCCGTGGAGCACTTCCAGAAACATTTGGTAGTTTGAAGTCTCTCCAGACGCTTGATTTGTCTCAGAATTCAGACATTGAAGGTCAGTTGCCACGAAGCTTGGGAACGCTATGCAATTTGCAGGCACTGAAACTTTCTATCAACAGAATTACTGGTGAGATTACTAATTTTGTTGATAGTTTGTCTTCATGCGCAAATATCAGCTTACAGAGGTTGGATTTGGGATATAATAACCTGACAGGAAAACTGCCTGATTCTTTGGGACATCTTAAAAATTTAAGATCTCTCAAATTGTGGCACAACTCGTTTCAGGGTTCAGTTCCAACATCCATTGAAAACTTAAAATCTTTGGAGGAGTTTTACATTGCATACAATCAACTGACGACGATCCCAGAAAGTCTCGGTCAACTCTCATCGCTGGTTGCGCTAGATATCTCGGAAAACACATGGGAAGGTGTCATTACAGAAGCTCATTTGGCGAAACTTCGAGGCCTAAAGGATTTATCCATAAAAAAGGGATCTCAAAACGTTTCTCTGCTTTTCGACATTAGTCCTGATTGGATACCTCCTTTCAAGTTGAAATACTTGGCAATCCGATCATGCAAACTTGGTCCCAAATTTCCTACATGGCTCAGAAATCAGAATGAGCTGGTTACTGTGGTACTCAGTAATTGCAGGATTTCCGACACCATACCAGACTGGTTTTTGCAGTTGGATTTGCAATTGGATGAATTCGATGTTTCTTTCAACCAACTAAGTGGCAGGGTGCCGCATTCATTAAGATTCAGCTTTCCCTCCACTTTTGATTTGAGTTCAAACCGCTTTGAGGGTCCCCTCCAACTCTGGTCATCAAATATTACCATGCTGTATCTTAAAGATAATCAATTTTCTGGGCCAATTCCTCGTAAACTTGGTGATGCAATGCCCTCGCTGACAGATCTAGACCTTTCGAGGAACTCTTTGAATGGAAGCATTCCCCTGTCCATAGGCAATCTACGCCAATTGATGACCATTGTTGTCTCGAATAACCAATTGTCGGGTGAGATTCCTCATTTTTGGAACAATATGCCATTATTGTACATCCTAGATGTGTCAAATAACAGTCTTTCAGGTTCAATCCCAAGTTCCTTAGGTTCTCTCATTTCACTTAGATTCTTGATACTCTCTAGCAACAACCTTTCGGGCGAACTTCCTTCGTTGAGAAACTGCACCGACATGAGGAGTCTTGATCTTGGTGAGAACAAGCTGTCTGGAGCTATTCCGGCTTCCATAGGAGAAAACATGCTCTCTTTGTTGATTTTACGCTTGAGGTTCAACTCGTTTAGTGGAAACATCCCTTCGCAATTATGCGGCCTTTCCAATCTCCACATATTGGACCTCTCTCACAACAATCTTTCCGGAAATATTCCACGCTGCATAGGTAACTTGAATGGCTTCAGATTGGAATTCACAGATAAAGATACACAAGACTATCTTTACCAGGGAAGATTGAAGGTAGTGGCTAAAGGAAGAGTGCTCGAATATGACTCCATCCTTTACCTTGTCAACAGTGTTGATCTCTCGGACAATAACTTGTCAGGAGAGATGCCTGTGGGGCTAACGAGCCTTATAAGGTTAGGCACCTTGAATCTGTCCATGAATCATTTGACAGGAAATATCCCAGCAGAGATCGGAATCTTGGAGCGGATAGAAACTCTTGACCTATCAAGCAACAAACTTTCGGGTCCAATTCCACAGACCATGGTTTCTTTAACATTTTTGAATCATCTCAACTTGTCATACAACAACTTGTCCGGGAAAATCCCAACAAGCAACCAGTTTGAAACCTTCATTGATCCATCCATTTATGAAGGCAATGCCGGTCTCTGCGGGCATCCATTACCAACCGATTGCCAAGGCAACAAAGAAACACCTCCGGCTCCAAGTGCAGATGGGGAGGATGATGACGGTAAGTCCGATAGGCTATGGTTCATCTTCAGCGTGGTGATAGGTTTCTGTTTCGGGTTCTGGGGAGTTTTCGGGACTTTGGCCGTCAAGAAGTCTTGGAGATATGCCTACTTTTGCTTCGTTGACAAGGTGAAGTATGCTGTGCTTGATTTTTTCTCAGCCATTGCTACTTATCTGCAGAAAAGATCATAGATTTTAGAAGAAGCTGTCAACTGTGAAAGCTTATTTAAGCAAATAAAGATGTTTAATATTTTCCCTTTCCTTCATGAATTTGTAAGCGTGGTTTCAATGTCCTTTATGTTTTGCTTGTAAGTCAAGACACATATTCTACAATATTACTCTACAAATCTCTATTTGTACCTTAAATTAATCTAAAAGTAACTTTCGTTACAAAAGTTGACAGAATAACACGTGATCACTTTCTAAATGACATTTCGATAGCTCGTGTACTTGGTAAAAATGCTTTTAATATATTAGAATTTGACCACTTTTGTCTGAGAGTAGGCATTTATGCTAGAAAACGAACAAAATTAACCAAACCCAAATTTGGTTGATTCAAAGAACGAATCTACACGTTATGGACTAATTTGCGACAAAAAAACATTTGACGACCAAAATTGAACAACAACTAAAACACCGGGAAACTTTTGTAATTAGCGGCTTTTCCCGTTTTGTTACCGTTGAGATCTTCCTACCAAAATCCTTCATCAACGTCGCTTTGTCTATTATCCGTTCCCGTCACAGAGCAGCGGCGGAACAACATGCCTCTCTGCTTCCTCTCCGTCCGTCCTCCTCCCCCTCGTCTCATCGCCTGCCACGTGTCCCCAGTCGCAGTGCGCCCTTGGCCGTCTGCTTCAGCACCACGACAAGTACCAGCAGCACTACCTTCTCTGGGTTCTCTCTCACTAAGCGCTAGCTCGACTCCGCCGCCGCTAACCTGCGCCCTCCACTGCCCTCACTTCGAATCGTAACTCTCAGCTCAAATCCCTTTTAATTTATTTTCTCATAATAATTGTTCGATTTAGTTTGAATTTTATTTTCTGCTGGGTGTATAATCAGGTGCTCCGGGTGTACGCACGGGTCCAATCTCCACCGTCCGGTCATCGTCGGCGAGGCGCCGGAGTTCTGCAAGACAGTTGGAGTCTCAGATTTCACTTTTGACAGTTGCAAAATTGGTATTACTTCACAACTTTTCCTGATATTATTTTTCTGATATTATTTAGGGTTTTGATAAAGTAAAAAGAATTAAAGTAAAAAATTAAAAAGAATTATCTTTCTGGTATTAATTAGGGTTTTGATCCTGATATTATTTGGGTTTGGTGTTAGTGGGGATGGCGGTCCCAATCCTAATGACTTTATATTTGATCTTTTAATCCCCGGATTAGTGTTAAATTTATATTTTTAGTTTAATTTGTATTTTCTTTTCTGTTTTTGCAGCTCATCATCCAAAGAGGTATGAAGTTATTGCTATGATATTTTATGAATTAGATTAATTATTCTCCGCTCTCTGATTGTTCCATCCCGTCTTGCTTTACCTTGATTGTTACCATTTCGTCCTAGACCTAATTAGGGATTAATGTTTCAACAGGATTGCAAGGATTTGTTGTCTAGCAAGGCATGGCACTTGGAAAAAGCCCTTGGCTATAATTTTAGTCCTGGAACCCCGAGGTGTTTTTCAGTTTCTTTTCTTTTGACTCCCGTTTTGTTACATTAATTGGATTGAAATTCAGGATTGTTTATTGTTTTTGATATATTATCAAGATTCCTTCAAACGCTACCTTCGTTCTGGTTCTTATCGAGGCATACTTCTAAAAATATGCAAGCTGTTTGATTCATAGCATATATTATACTTTTAATTTGATCGTTGTTCATTTCCCATGATTGCGGCATTGAGGTTTTAGCTGTGTTCAAGAGGGGCCAGGGAAGCCTGAAGAGAAAAAGAGAACAGGAATAAAGAAGAAGAAACGCTTGTAAACAATTCTGAAACTCGGATTTTGCAGTGACTATCAGTGATAACCGCTTGAACTTTTTTTTGGGTTTATTACAAGAAGAAGAGTGGGAGAATCTAGTAGAGAGAGACTGTAACAAAACCAGTTCTTCTGTGTTGTCTGCCCTTTTGTAGAAGGGGATTTTGTTCACCGTCGGCTGAAACATGTGTAAAATGAATAGTTACAAATGAATGAAATTGCACTCTGTTGTATATCTAGCTGACTCCTTTTGAATTGGATAAAAAGAATAAATAATTGAGTAGGAAACTTCAAAAGATGAAGAATACATTGTCTTCCATCAGGAAAGCTGCTAGTTCGTTGGTTGAGGTGAAGACGTTTTCAGCTCCCCTTCTCTCTGCCTGCAGATTTTGCGAGATGTGGAAAGGCATTCAAAATGTTGTAGGCTATTAAATCCTGCCTGGTTAAGATCCCAACCACTGGAGGCACCTACAAATGGAGCAAACATCGAGGTTAGTGATTTGGCCTTTACAAAAAGTATAGTGTACCGTCTTGAATAACTATGCTCAATCGACAGAATAAATATGCTCGTGCGGAAGTAAACTGTAACTCCGTTAACAAGTGCATGGTGTTTCTTAAAATGAGAATGGTTGATGACAACTCACCCGAGATGCTTCATAATTTGGCACAACGAGCAAATGGCGAAGTCCCACTTGCCTGAAAAGCACCATAGCTTTTGCCACTGACATGCCTTCCATCACTGTGTATGGTGTTCTATTGGTGAGTGGATGCAGATCTACATACATCTCCATTTCATCTTTTGTCACAGCCACCTCCTCGATCTTCCATTCCCTCTCGGCCAACTCAACCGAGGTAAATTTCTCTCTAACTTCCCACTCCTCTGTTCTTCTTTTCTCTCTTAGGAACCATTTCTTTTTCAGCACCTGAAGAAGGTGAGCTCGAAGAATTAGTCCATGTACTGTTGCCCCAACTGCCAATCCCATTGGTGGCACCACTCCTTCTTCTACAACAGGGAAACCATTGTGCGTGGTGTTTCTCAGGACCTCCACAATACGATCCACCTTTTCAATTCCACGGAGGGTTACTACTGGCAGTTTGGCATCAGCGAGCTCACCTACAGTCAGATTTCTCATCCACGGTTCTGGATGTGCCTCCAAGAAAGGCAAACCTTTTAAGTGCAGTATAATCTCATAGATGCTTGGATTGAAACTGTCTCCAACAGTTTTGGCAATTAGAAGGACAAGCATTGTTATGGGTAGTAAGAGGAGGTTGTTGGTGAGCTCAAGAAATATGACACATAACGAAACAGTCATCCTCATTGACCCTGCCATTAGGGAAGCTGCACCAAGAACAGCGAAAAGCCCCTGGTCAATGCTCGTATATGATTGCATGGCAATTCCAAGCAGACGGCCATAAGCTGAGCCCATAAGGATGATGGGGAGGAACAGTCCAGACGGCACAGCGATTCCAAAGGTAAACAATCCTAAGATGCAATATAGTACGAAGAAGATTAGGAGGGATAAAGGATGATACTCAGTAGAAGTGTTTGTCGAAAAGATGTTTCGAACTGCATCATCATTAGTGGCAAGGAGAAGAGTAGCTAGGTCATTGTAGTGGCCATCTGGGCAGTTGAACTTTTTGTAGTTTCCAGATCCTTCATTGGTGGGACAGGCAGACTCCGAAAGAGAGGAGTCACAGGGTGTACATTCGACAAGGAAAGGGAGACCGTATAGGCATCCAGAAGTAAAGAGTGATACAGTGAGACTGAGGAGGATCTTGAGAACTTTCCCCTTCCTGCCAGAAGAGTAAATCAAGAAGTAATTAGTATCGAATCGACATCGTGTTGTGTCAGTTTTCGTATTTGGTTTAGGGTTGCTTACTGATTTATGAGGTTGTATAGTCTGAGAATCTTGTGGAGAAGATAGTTGTACAGGCTTCCCAAAACTCCACCAATAATGCCAATTACAGCTACGGGGATGATATCCCACGCATTGTATGTCACAGTAACAGTGCTTACGTCGAACATGATAAGCCCTCCTTTCCCGAAAAGCCCACATTCCCCAGAATTGCATATTTCGATAAAAGCTCTAAGCACCACCACCACAATAGCTGTGCTGAAGAAAGTTCTCCAGAGAAGGGCACTCCTCCACCATGTTGCCACCTCTTCAAGGGCAAACAGTACACCACCCACAGGAGCTCGGAAAGCTGCACATACCCCAGAGGCAGCGCCACAGGTAATGAGATCTCTGCGGTCACGATCATTGTTGAAGTAGCGGAGCCAGCACCATTTAATACGGTAATTGTCAGGTCCCCCTTGACCTAATAAGGAAGCAATGCAGCTTCCAATGTGCACAAGAGGCCCTTCTTTTCCAAGATCTAGGCCTGCAGAAACAGCCCCAATGCTTCCGAATATCTGCAGGATGAAAGTTTTTCGTGCCACTTGGCTTAATAAATTATGACATACTTTCCTAAGAAGTCACTGAAATTAAATGCAAACAATGTTCAATTTGCAAAAGAAAATCCACCTTGACAATCATTGTTGTCGCACCAAACATATTCGGTGTGTCAACTCCGTTGAGATATGCTTTGATTTCAGGTATACCAGGTCCAGCTGCAGTCGGAGCAAAGCACACGCAGAGAACAGAAGCAATAGCGGTCAGTAGAAGATTGGCCCCAGCTATAAAGATGAACCCCATCAGGTACCTACACCACACAATTCCCATATTGTTTATGCGATCATAGGCATTTCAATGGACTATAATTGATATCTGGATTGTAGTAGCTGAATACGACATTGAAAGTTCGGTAGAAATACAGGGGAATACAACAAACCTCTCTTTCTCTATGAAACTAACCGCGGCAAGAAGCTTGTAGCCGGCAATATTCTCAACAGCGAGGTTAATGAGGGTGGCAATTATACCAGTTAGAAGTCCAACAAGGCAGGCAAGGATCCATTTCAAAATACATACTGCAAGACTTGGACTTTGGATCTGCTTCTCCAATCATGCTTAAACAGATCGTTCTCGTTGATCCTGCATCAAACCAACTTCAATTCAATGTGATGAAGATCAACACAATAAGGATTCAGGTGTCTCTTTTCGATGAAACTAGAAACGGATCGTTTAAAGTCGTTACTCGTAGTCCAAGCTCTCGATATGGGAGACTTTGGCTCCGACCATAGCCAGTGGAGTGGAAGAAAGTGTTCGGTTTCTCTTGAGGAGTGGTTGCTGGAGAGAAATGCTCTCTGGATCTCTTTCTTCCGTACCGGTTTCTTGCATGGTTTGCGGAATCGCCGCTTCTGCATGGTGGTTCGAGTGTTCCGCCATGGGGCTCGTGGAAGCTGCAGAGTGAGAGGAACAGAAACTGAAAGCTCACAAACTCTTGTGTCTGAAGTGGTACAGCAACTCTTATTGGCTACGAATGTTGGATTGGCCAGAAGCTGAGAGCTACCGGTATCATGCCATCTATATTATATTTATAATTAAATATACAGACACTTGTTCGATCTTTGTACGTACATGCCAACATTGGTGATGTAGGCTTGGACGTTTGGAAATAAATGATTTGAGCAATCTCATAATTTTCTACCAATTGTGTCACCAATGATAATCCATATGATGATCATCTTCTTGCATGTTGGTCAATGATGAATGTGTATTGCATATTGGCTTCGTAATAGTATTAGGGTGGAACTTTAACTTAATTTTTTGTATCAGAGCAGGTTGTTTACGTATAAATTTCAAAGGTCACATGTGTTCTACATCATCCAATTTGTGTTGTCCATGTGTTTAGTTTGAAAATTCATCTCTCAAGTAAGGCGCGTGCTAAGAATGAATCGCACTTTGATGAAGATGAGACCTTGCATGTGCTTATCATAAGTTGGGCTATTCTGTATATTAATAATTTTTGAACGGAGCTTGGCTGCTGAAAAATCAGCAGCAGCTCCTGTTGCTAGCGAATAACAGGTGGACACAAGTCCAAGTAATTGATTTTTTAATCACAAATTGAATACGTGCCTACCCATGATTTGTTAGCAATAGGAACTGCTGCTGATTTTTTCAACGCCAAGCTTTCTCCATAATTTTTCGGGTTGATATCGACTCTATTGATTTTAAACACATGACAGCTACGCATTACACATGACTTGTGTTGTAGGTGAAGTATGATAATTAATTTACATATGTATCATCCATATCCTGATCTGAAACTGCTCAAATCCGCATGCAGACCAGATCGCCACAAATGTGGGATCCCCATGGGCAGATACACGTGTCAAAATATGACCCCCCAGATCGCACAGATAAACGGTAGATTTCAAATGTGACCTTTGGGGTGATTGAAAAGGCAGTTTATCCGTTTCAATTATTAAAAATATGGGATTTGGATTTTGTATAGTTGTTGTCGAACCGCGTTCGAATTTGGAATTTGGTTTTCATGTTTGAATTCGATGAAAATGGACCGGCAGCAATGTTGCGGGGATACGCAAGTGGACATGTGTAGGAATCCAACTCCATCCGTCTTCGTGAAAAGAAGACGAATAAAATCATGGTCGATATATTGTATTTTAGTTCAATAATTTAAGGTTATGAGATGATAAACTTATTTTAAACTAAGATGCAATGTTGGCGTTGATGTAAAAGTTCTATGGTACATTGCTTTTTTAGGTGCTGGATATTCCGCATAATTTCATATATTGGATTTAGCTACAATACTTACACATATTTAATATAATTCATATCTCGTTGGTCAGATAGTAATTTTATTAAATACATATATTTATATGAATTATATCTATAGATAGTGATTGTATTAAATCATAAAAAAAAATATTGAATTTAGATCAAGGGATTGTGGTAAAAACTCCACAACTTGTGGCTGTAGTTTAGTGGTAAGAATTCCACGTTGTGGCCGTGGAGACCTGGGCTCGAATCCCAGCAGCCACACCACTAAGATTTTATTTTTTGTGTTTCTTTATTTTACTATTGACCCGACGCATGTCTCCACGAAAATGGACCAAAATAGGTAATATGACGATATTGTAGAAATTTACAAAAATGAAAAAAAAAAAGTGGGTTGTGATGTAAAATTGTGAGAATGAATGTTCATAGTAGTGTATTTGTTATTGGAGTGTGATATACACACACCATTTTTTACTTCTCCCACACCTTTTTTGTTTTCGACCGTCGGATCAGATGAATTGAAGAAGATTAACGGACAAAAATTAAGAAGGGGTGTGAGAAGTAAAAAGAGATGTGTGGATAGCACATCCCTTGTTATTATGTGAAGTTTTCAAAAAAGCACTAAGATTTTATTTTTTGTGTTTCTTTATTTTACTAATGACCCGACGCATGTCTCCACGAAAATGGACCAAAATAGGTAATATGACGATATTGTAGCAATTTACAAAAATGAAAAAAAAAAGTGGGTTGTGATGTAAAATTGTGAGAATGAATGTTCATAGTAGTGTATTTGTTATTGGAGTGTGATATACACACACCATTTTTTACTTCTCCCACATCTTTTTTGTTTTCGACCGTCGGATCAGATGAATTAAAGAAGATCAACGGACAAAAATTAAGAAGGGGTGTGAGAAGTAAAAAGAGGTGTGTGGATAGCACATCCCTTGTTATTATGTGAAGTTTTCAAAAAAGCCAAAATAGTTTGTTATTGTGTGAAATTTTCAAAAATGTCATAGTAGTTTGTTATTATGTTAAGTTTTCAAAAAGAGCAATCACTTCACTTTTTGTTTTGTCACAGATGTGGCTCTATATAAAGAGCACTCCGTGTGTGATTACAACACACAACAAAGAAAAGAAATGAAAGCAATAATATTAGTATTTATCCCTTCCTCTTTTTCTTGCAATCTTTTTGTGTTATAATTACGAAACTAAACAGTGTGATATCTTGCACCCACTTCTCTCATGTCCCTAATAAAAGTTATCTCTCTAACTTTTGTCTATTTATAATAGGTTGAAAGAGATTGAAGTTAGAAGAATTTATGAAATTTTCTACAAAATTAAGAGTTCAAATTTTATAAGCGAGAAATTTTGAGTTTAAATTTCATAAATACATAACAATGACTCGAACAACTAACAAACCTCCCTCGTACCAATGAGGTTGATAAAAAAAATGAAGCAAGTAGGAGAGCAAATTGCAATTACCCACAAATTGCCATACAATTAAGCAATATTCGGTATTATTGAACATATGAAATAGTTCAAGTATAAACTCTTCAAGTACAATTGAGAAGTCCACTCAAACCCTACCGTAATAATACCCTATCCACTTAGCGAGAATTAGGAAAGAACGTCTATTGTATACAAATCATGCCTTCTGACACATATAATTACACACACACACACATATATATATATATATATATATTATATGTAAAATTCCATCCAAAGTTCAACATTCTCCTTTTAGTAATTGAAGAATGGCAAACCGAATCATCAAGCCCCTTAATTTCCCAAATGGTGGAGAAGGAAAAATAAAAACTTTTAGCCCATTTATTTTATGTAAAGAGCACCATATATATATATATATATATATATATATATATATATATATATATATATATATATATTATACGATGCTGATCACATAATGGTGCATTGAGTATCCGGATCATAAAACGGGTGGACCTGCATTGGCGGAGGTGGCTGCGGAAATCTAATCGCTGGTACAGTTTCCCGTGTATCGTAGTAATTAGGGTAGTGCTGAGGATGATGATGGTAGGGAATCGTTGTTTCATAGCTTCCATTGTGACCATAATATCCGTAATCATGATTATTATGGTAATAAGCCCCATAATCTTGTCCACTTGTGTAATTAGCAACAGGTTTAGCTTCGTAGAACTGATGCTTATATCCTGAATCAACTCTGAGCAACTCTGCATGCTTCCCTGATTTTGCTAATAACTTGAGAAGCATGTTCGGTTCAATTGTACCCGAAACATATGCAATTCCGGCTTGTGTGTCGATGGTGTAAGACACTCCTTAATTACGATCAAATCAAATTAATTAATTAATTAAACTTTCAAGAACAATGAGATTAACAATAATAATTCATAAGAACAATAGGATATATACATATATATTTTTGTACGTACCCTTGATTTTGTTCAAAACTTTGATCATGGTCTTATGCCATCCGGGGGTACCGGTATCCAGTTTCAACTCACATCTCTGCAAAATCATAATCCAAAGTTGAAATATAATCGCCTCATATGGGCAAAATTAATAAGGAAAATGAAATCACATGGAAAATAAACCGGAGGGAGATAGCTAGCTAGGGTTTGTTAAACGTCACTAACCATGAAATCAGTATCCGTTGTTTCAGCCATGATGAGAAAAGGAACAGATTGATAGGTTTCTGCAGAAGAGTACTTGAAAGAATGTGCTGTGTTGTGTATCTGCTTCTCGATCGAAAATGGATTAACCGTAAACTGTATGTTACTTGGTACTCATCAAGGAAGTTCGTAGAAGTTTTTGCTTAACTTACAGCACAAAAGCAATAGTACTGTTGGGTGGTTTATATAGAGGAGGTTTGTTGCGTATTTTTGTAAACAATTAAATGGGTTACTAATAACCAATCAAACAGATTTCAACCGTAATCAAATTATTAAGGTAATTCAGGTTTTACGGTATATATTCTTTCTTCTTATCTTATACTTAACGCCATTCAAGCAAAGGATCTCTCAGATGACAATATTCCATTTCGAGGACCCTTTTTTCATGAAGAGTGAAAAATCTTTAGGAGAAAAATTCTATGGACCAAACCATTTTGCTCATGAAAATTAACGTAGTGTTCATACACCTTATCCATAATTTTGAAATTACTTAACGAAAGTAACTTTAAAACTAAAATGAAATTAATTGAAAAAAAAAATATTTATTTTAGTTCCTTACCCAAAAAAAATATTTTAGTTATTTTAAAATTATATTGAACTGTTATATAGCTTATTATGGTGTTTATAATCTTTTATTAGTTCAATAAAAAATAATTTATTAGATTTTATTAATTTTAATAGCTTATAAAATGGATTAGATTTTAGTAGGAAAGTGAATTATTATTTAGTTAACTAATATATAGCAATATGAATAATCAATAATATGTGGTTGAAATGTTTTTTTTTTCCTTTTAATTTAAGACATAATTTTAAGGGTCCATACCGGATTCTATGCATCATTTTTTTCTAAATGAAATTATATGTATCTTAAATATTTTAGATTCTTGTAATGGAAAAATTCGAAAACGGTCTCCTGTTTTTCAAAATTGAATTTCAGTCCATTGATCATTGAGAAATATGAAGGGCTTGAGGTTAATAATAACGCTTGTATGCCAAAATTTAAGTAAATTATGTAGACTTTACATAACAATATATATATATATATATATATATATTTTTTTTTTTTAACAAACAATATTATCGAGAGGATAGGCTTAGTCTCACAATAAGCTAGCAATAATGTAGTTATTACAAGGCTTCGATCCTGATCATTGAGTCTGTATTGGTTAGACTTAGACCCATAACCAGAACCAGAACTGCCATCTCCAAGTTTGTATTGATTGTCAACAGGCCGTGGAGATGTTTTCACACCTGATCACATTACCAGTACTACTATTACCGGCGGAGGTGGTGAAGTGGTGACGACGGTGTCCCGAATCAGAATGCACCCTGAGCAGCTGTGCATGTTTACTGATTTTGCAAAACGCGTCAGCCACCACATATGCCATTCCAGCTTCTGCATACATACATTCATTCATTCAAGTCATAAAAATATAAACAATATTAGTAAAATTAATTAGATAACAAACAAGCTTTCTTACTATTGTCAAGGTTTTAAAAGGGCGGCTAGGCTAGGCCTAGGTGAATTAATCGGATTTAAGTAAATTTATTTTATATCATATAAATAAGTGTCTTTTTATGCTAAAAAAATACATAATTTCATTGGGATAGGTAAATAGTATGACTGGCTTTCCGGAAAATGAGACGAAACATGCTTTATCGATATGAGAACATGCGCTAAAAATACCTCCTAAACCCCCTGCCAAGTGATCGAGTAACTACAAATAGAATGACATATAAATTGTAAAGTATTAGAACGTAATGAACACATAGAGAAATGTGTATTCCTCTAAGCATTCAACAAATCTTTTGCAATTTAATGAAAAAATAAAATGTAAAATGAAAATTATCTATTTTCTATCTGAGTGGGAGTTGCGACCCAGGCGACTACCAAGGTGGGTCTGGGTGGGCGCCTAAGCAAATCTAAGCATCCTTTCTTAATTTTGAAATGCCTAAACATTAATCGAGATGGTAGTCAATCGCCTACCCCTAGGTGGGGCTGAGGTGGGATTAGGGGGCCTAGGCAGCGCTAAACGGGAATTTTTAGAACAATGTTATTTATTGAGTTAATAGTTTGACTAAAGTCCACTGGGTCAAAATTTTGACTGAATCGAATAACAGTTCGTTTGACACCAAAAAATGAGAAAAGAAAACATAAGGTTAGAATATCGCATCGTAGTTAATTAGGCTAAAATAATGTTTTTTTTCTTTCTAAAATTAGCGTTCGAACCTCCCTTATCATAATTTAAGTTGTATTACAAATAAAAAATATATCACTTTGCATAGAAAAAAATAAAGATAGAAAGTGAAAATTTTGTGTGTTGAACAATGAACCTAAAATGTAGGGATCGATTTTCCATTCAAGGTCGATATAATAATTATTATGCCCATCTATTCTTGGACCAAGATTTGCAATGGATTCTACGTAATCTTCCACATCACTATCATGATTTACCCTAAACCATCTAATTATTTTCTGATAATTCAATCACAAATTCGAAAAATCGAGTCATATCATCGAGAGAGAGAGAGAGAGAGATGAAAAAATTTATAATAGCTTTTTCACTGGTGCTCCTCCTATGGCTGCTTTTGCATAATTCTTCTAAACCAATTGGAAACACCTACCAAGTATCGCTTCTCAAATCTCAACAGGTATGTTTGTTTTCTTATCAATTAATTTTTTGTTTCATCAATCCGCATTTACGTCCAAAAGGACGACCTCAAACCAACAAGGCTCCCCGCTTTACATCCAAATTAAAAAAAAAATTATTTGTTCTTTGCAACGATCTTGTAGCTGAAGTGATTTCCCCTCCCCAATATTGTTTGTACATAATCCGTGTTTTCCTTTAAGTGTGGAGGGTTTTATTTTTTAAACCATAAATTTAAAGGAAAAATAATGAAAATGTCTTGAAAACTTTGAGTTTTAACGATAAGGGCAAAATAAAGGGTAAAGTGAATAGTACAAAAATTGACTTTTTAGTGTAAAAATGTAGTTTTTCGTTAACTTGAACAGTATTTGGAGCTTTTCGTTAAAGATCCCTAAATTTAACGAGTATGTACTACTGGAACTAGGAATGCAAAGAGCTGGTGGAAGTTCTGAGGAGAGCATCGATGCCAGATAGAACGATCATACTGACGATTGTTGAGGAAGCATGGACTGGTTCTGGCTCCGTCCTCGATCTCTTCCTCGAGAGCTTTCGGGTTGGCCAAGGGACGAAGAGGCTCTTGAATCACTTGCTCATTGCCACTGTTGGTAAGGGAGCTTTTGAGTACTGCAAGTCCGTGCATCCCCATTGCTTCAAGCTCGCGCCACTACGACTGTCGAAACCTGCTGCCGGAAAGCAACTTCTCGGTCACGGTCGGGAGGGAATCGACCTGCTACATAGAGTGATTCAACTGGGATACAATCTGATTTTCACAGTAAGCTTTCTTGTTCCTTGTGTGGTGGTGATGGGTTGAAAGTAACTGTATCAGGCAGATTTTAACTGAAATCTAACTTTGCTGCAGGAGGCAGATGTTATGTGGTTCAGAAATCCGGTTACAGAATTTGACTCTCAAAAGGAAGTCACAATTCCTTGTGACCTCGATTCGGAAAACGCAGGCAACAAACAGGATAGGGGAATCTTTTTTCTGAAATCAGATGTTATATCACTCGAATTCTTCGAGTACTTGAACTTGGTCGGGATTCTGTACCCGAGTATTCCTCTTGGATCTCCCTGTGAGATTGTAACACGAGAGGAGATTACCAAAATGCTTGGAATGCGAGTGCAGATTATCGACACAGCTTATTTTGGTGGGTTTTGTCAGCCACTTGGGAACTACAGTGAGGTTTATACAATGCAAGCAAACTGCTGTGAAAATATCGAAAGTAAAGTCCACGATCTCAAGCTTGTCCTAGATGATTGGCGCAGTATCACAGGTCGTTCAGCAAATAATAGTTCGGGGCAATCACCTTCATGGAGAGCCCCAAACAAATGCATTCAATAAGAATTTGCCAATACCTGCTTTGCTGCATTCAGTTTACTTAACAGAGAATCATCGACGATAAAAATTCTAAACTCTTTTCGCAATAACAATTGTAAAAGGGGAAGCAGGGACCAATCTTTACCTAGTATTTCACCTAATGATCAATGTCTTTGTACTGAAACTTTGCCATAACAAAATCAGAGAAGCCTTATGTGCACCTAAAGTAGCCCTAAAAATATAAATACGAAAGAAGGCTAGCATTGAACTTTGTGAAACTTTCGAGTGCTCCATAAACGCCTTCACATCGCATACCAAGCACTTCGGAAATATTTTATCCAAGTGTTGTATTCAAAGTACATATGCTTAGGGTAGACAAATCGCATACCCTATGCTTATGTTGCTCATCAAGCTTTCAAAAGTTTTAATATTGCAAATTGGACATAGCAGGAGTAAAGAGGGCAACAAAATTAGGTAGACAAAAGCATTGGAAGTTTCACATTAAGTATCCTTATACATAAGCAAGAATGAAAGTTTTTTACTTGATAGAATTAAGATATAGGATCGGTTTAGATTGGAGTCAATCGAAGAACAACTGAACTGAATGCAACTCTTATACAACTTACATGGACCATAGCCTCTCTAAATCAAGCGTAGATATTCCTACAAATCAAAGGACGGGTAGAATGTGGTCAGTAAGGTATGCCTCCTTGAGGAAGATCCCAGTTATCTCCGTCATCATCGCTCTTCTTGGCTTCAGGGACTTCTGGCTTCTGCTGAAAGGGTCTTGAGAAGGGTCGCCGGCTGATAAAAAACAATAAAAATGGAATTCAATAATCAGATCCAACGGGGAGTGCTAACCAAAGGAATTCATTCAAGTCCGTGATTTTCAAGTCATAGTTTTACAGATAGAACAACTAGTTCATAGGCATTAGGAATCCCACTCTAATGATGCACTCAAATTACAAAACGAATTTCACATTTTTTTTTTCTTTTTGGCAGTGATACTCTAAACTAGTCTAATCTACGTGAAGAGGAATTCAAACTCGGGTGAATTGGCAGCCACACTGCCTTTGACAACGGCCCAACAATTACAAAAGTACATGCTTTATCTTAATTCACATTCAAGCATTTGGTCTCATCCACAAGACTAAAAAGGGTGACCCCTATCCAACAAAGCTTAGCTCTCCGCTTTGCGAGGGTCTTGGGGGAACGTCTATCTTACGCAGCCACAAGACTACATTGCATAAAGTTCAAATCTTTATCTTTCTCGATTTCAAAGGTTGAACATTTCTTCTTAATTCACATTCAATTACGCAACTCAACTACAATGCATAAAGTTCAAACCTTTCCCTTCTGAATTTCAAAGGCTGTTCGATTATTCAACTGAACTACAATGCATAAACTTCAAATCTTTCTCTGTCTCAATTTCCAATGTCGAACATTTCTATCTTAATTCGCATTCAATTACTTAACCAAGCAACCGAAAAATCACAAAATATAAAAATAAACAACTTTACTTAATTACGTTCTTTCTCCTAAATCCTCAATTTCTGAAGCAACCAACAAAAGAAATGAAAAGCAACAATTAGGACACGTACCTTCTCTTGTTTCGCTTCGCGGCGTCGCGGGTCCGGCGCTTCTTTTCATCCTGCTTGTTCTCAAAGTACCTCCTCCTCTTAACCTCCTGAATAACTCCGGCCTTCATGACCTCCCGCCGGAACCTGCCGAGCAGCCGCTCCTCGGGCTCGTTGTCGTCAACAATCACCTGCACATTGTACGCCGACTTGAAGAAGAGGACGTTGGCGTGAGCCAGAGAGGGGCAAATCACAGACTCTATCGACGAAGAAGAAGAAGCAGAGTGGGCCCCTTGGGCAGCCAGTGGAACCAGCCGGTCTCTGGGCTTCTGGGTCTGTAAAATGGAGAGCTGGGTCGGTGGGAGTTTGGGTTGCGGTGGCTTTGAGGGGCTGAGGAGGGAGAACAAGTTGCAGAGAGCGGATGAGGCAGCCATGGATGATGACTTTGGTGATTGGTGTGAAGAGACTTCTCGACCTTCTGATTTTGTTGTTTATCTCTATCTCCTTTTTCCGGAGGGAAGATAGGATTGGGCCCACGAAGAAGCAATGTGTTTGATGGACTTCAAATTTGGGCCGTTGGATATAGGCAATCACTTCGGAGTTAGTTGAGAGGCCCAGCTAGATATACTTCTAATACTAAATAGAATGAATTTTAGGGGTTTATTATTGTTGAGAAGATTCAATTATTTTCTTTGGAAATATATTTGCTGGTCAAATTTGAGTTTTTAGGTTCGAATCTTGTGGATAGCGAATTCGATACCAAATTAGGTTGCCCGTTGTGTGGCTTAGCCAAACTCCCTCCCTTTCCTTGGTGTAAAATATATCGTTGTACTAAAAAAAAAAAGAATTTTGAATTTATAGCTTGAGATTTGCAGACTAATTAGAATACATCAGAAATGCTAGTGGAACCATTACAGAGTGTGTTTTAACTTTTCAAGTTTCCGAAGTTAAATCATTAACATTCTTGAACATCCATATCGTAAGTTACTTGACAAATATATCAACACAATATCGCCGTATATATGCAATTTGAAGTATTGATGGCATCACTAGTATAAGAATACATCGATAATTTATAACATGTTGATATACTAATCAATATTAATTAAGTTGATTGAATCAATCATATGATCATACGGTCTGACCAAAATTTTATAATGAAGAAATAATTATAGAGGCACGTTGATATTGATGCTTAACTTGTCATTTTCTAGTGATTGGCGTGCATGGAGGGATTGTGGAGGCCACGTCAGTAAGTAATGGTGCTCATTCTCACAAAGCACCACAATCTGACGAGGTTGCATTTCAAACAGGCATCCTCAATGTATGTATGAGTGGTGCTATTTACTCAACGTTTTTTTACCTTTTACGGGCTTTCTGTTTAAATTCTTTCATTTGATATTTTTCAATTTATTTTATCTCACGGTTGAAATTAAAAAAAAGAAGTGAAAGATTAAAAAGAGATGTGTGAATAACATCACTCTATATATGTTATACATGTATACATGCTGCTGAGCTCAATGCTTAGGCATCTATGTGTTTTGTGATGCAACAACGCAAGATGCACCAATGATCAAATATCAACTCAAATCCAAGCCAAAGCATTCCCAATTTCTCCTTCTATTTACTTTTCAGGTTTGTGATAGATTGTGAGAGATGTTTTGGCGTGACTGTCACATTTTACTATAGTCTTAATGATCCATTTTATAGATATGTTTACTTACTAAGAATAGATATGCAATGTATAAGTATCATTCACGTCTAATAACACACAAAAAAATAAAATACTAGAAAAATTCCACTTTGAGATTATGTATGACATACTTGAAAATCCAAGTATAAGATCACTAAACGAGTGTTGTCTATTGTATGCCTGAACAATTTTATGACTTATTTCATTCTTAAAAAGTAAACATGTCATAAATATTATCCATATCATTCTTTTATATTATAAAACGTAAATTAATGACACGTCATAATATTATTGTCACATTCGATACTTTCGTGTCGTATTTGAAGCAATTCATTCCACGTCCATCCTCAATTCTTGGTAAATACAATACTCTTTTTATTGTTTCATTTTATTAATGTCTCGGAATCAACAACTTTACCAAACTCGTGTACAACTCCTTTCTTGTGTATTGATTTCCGCTTATTACATGCTCGGTTTTCCTAAATGATTTCTCCACGTCACCCCCGAAACAAAAAACCAGAAAGCCAAGATCTCTATAAAGCAAGGGAAATAAAACAATATTTGGTTATTAAAAGAATGAGTAGAAGTTTCTACTCAAAATCGTTCATTGCAGATTCATATAATTTCGTGTTTATAATCCAAATTATTCATATTATAAATTACTCTATATAAATATCGTCTCTGCAAAGCACCAACTAAAACTAAGGTCATTTAGTCATCATATGGATAAAAACAAATGAACGAAATTTGTAAAAGTATTATGAACCGTCTATGTATTTGTTACAATAGATTGACTGAACGACCTTAGTTTTAATTCATTTTTTCGAATAGATGGTCTTTACAAAGTGATTCATAATATAAACAATTATGATCATAAGTACAAAGCTCTGTTGTTCGAATACAAAAAATTTTGAGTAAAAATTCCTGCTCATCCTTAAATCTAATTAAAAGATGAATTAGTGTGCGTTAATCGAAACTGGTTTGCTTTTCCGTACTAAATCAAGGGGCTGAAACCTGGTTAAGTTCTTCTCTGCTGCAGCCAATGTCATCTTTGCTTTTTCTCATAGTTAATTTGGAACTTTAAATCTTAGGAAACCTATGCGATCATGACTCTGAAAATTGATTAGAATACTCATTAGAAAATTATATTAGGGACGATAGGCAAATCCAGGACTGACAGACGGACACTAACCTTAATTTGATTAAATAGTGGATTAGCAGAAATAAAAGAACACTTAAAAGAGAAAACATTTATAATTAGTTAATATCCAATTGGACATGCAGTTTTACAAAGTCCTTTACTTATAAGAAATTTTTAGTGCCGAAAACACAACTCGATACATCAAGTATCATAATACAAGTAGTTGGATATTTAAAAAAAAAAATTTAAACTACTTATATTTTGACACTTTGTTTACCAAATGATATTACCGACACACTAAAAATTTATCTTTATCTATGAGGCCTGGCATCTGCTCAGCAATTGGTGGCCATTAAACTAATCAGATGGGAAATTGGTAATTAGCTTTATCGATACGATATTCTTGATCAGTACAATCCGACTAGGAAGATGTAATGGTCCTAGAAATAGCTATACTAATTCCAATGTTCTTCATCTGTTGGCTAATTGCAAATCTTAATTATTATTATTTGGTTTTTGAAGTTGTTCATTGATCTCAACCAACTTCTAAGTGGAGTGATAATTGTCGCTATTTGATTTGAGGAAGTAGTTCAAAGTCACATGAATGCGAGAG